CGCGCCGCGCCCTGCCCGCCCTCTCCCCGTCCTCTTCGCCGCCGCCACCTGCCCCACATGGCGGACCTCAGCTCCTCCGCTGCAGACCCTTTTCTAAAAGCCCAGCCCTGCCCAGCCCGGCACCCTGGAAGAGCGCTCGCCCGGCTGAGCGCACGGGGGCCGGGGGTGCGGGTGCAGAGCGGGGTGCAGTCGGGGCCGGGTGGGCCTAGGGGCGCCCGCTGCGGAGGCGGTCATTTGTCAACCGGTTGCATGAAGTCACCACCAGCAGAACAATTTTAACTAAAAAAAAGAGGTCGCACCTAGACCCCTTCTAAGCAAACTTTCTCTTGTCTCTAGTTGGCCTTGTGACCTTTGGCCGATATGTCCTGTTTGTGGCCATTACGTTAACAACAGGGACTGTGTGCTGAAGTGTCCCATCTTCACACTTCCCGACTACAGACAGGGAAACTGAGGCTCGCAGTTAAGTGAGTTGCCCGGGGTTGCAGCCAGTGAGGGGCAGAGTGGAGATCTGAACTCTCTCCTCCCTTCTACCCCCCTGCCCAGCACTCTCAAAGCCCCAGGCTTTTCCTGGCTACTTCTGGCCTGGTGGGCATCTGGCTTTGCCCTGAGATCACACCAGTAGACTCAACTTGCAAAAGGAATCTTGGGTGTGTCCTTCGCGTAGCCCCCTAAAGAAAGTAAGGCCTTGCCAGCTCTCTCCTGTGGATTTGTCATATTAGTGAAATAGTAATAAAGTGTCTTAACATTTTATATAAATAATACGTGTATATTTCATAAATATATGTCTATGCACTTCTTTATCATGCGATTAGTCCTCACAGGTCTGAGGAAGATAGGATTAACACCAGTTTATAGATGAGAATGTGTGGCTGCAGATTTATTTACACCCTATGGAGTGCTCTCAGTGTTTCCTAAATGCTACCTGCATGAGGTGGGTACTGTCGTCAACACCCCCCCAGGCGCGGTGCGGTTCCATGACTTGTCCGAGGTCACATGGTGGGTCGATGGCAGGGAGGGCTCCTAGCCCGCTGTGTGCCTGCTTCTCTTACTCAGGACGTCGCTGGAGGGGAAGTTGTGTCCAGGCCACATGGCTGATCATTGGCAGCGCTGATCCCTGAGGGTCTTCTGACTCCAAATCCAGGGCTCTTTCCACTCCTGTGAGTGCTCACTCCCTGCGCAGCTCTGGCTCACAGAAGCCTCCGGATGAACAGCCTGCGGGCTGGGCAGCCCTGGATTTCTTGGGCAGGGATTTCCCGCCATGTATATCTCCTCTGAAGACAGGCCTCTTTCTCTGCTCGTGATTGCAGAGGCAACTGGGGAACCAGAGGCTTTTCTGTGTATCTTGCAGAGTTTAGAGAAGTTTGGGCTGAGGGGATGGAGAGGAAGAGTGAGGCAGCCCCCTGTAGAGTGGGGATGTGGTGGGCAGGTGGTCACTCTTAGGGTCCCCACTCTTACGGGCCTGCGGAGAGGAGGCTACATAGGTTGCAGAACCGGACGGAGTGCAGGAGCTCCCTCACTTTTTTATAAGTGGAATGGGCTTTCACATGTAGTTCGTGAGCTCACTGTGAAAAAGAAGGCTTAATGGCCAGTTATCCTGTACAGAAAAGTGCTTGTGACGTCCCAATCCCCATCCCCCTCTTTTTCACCCTTATCCATTGGGGATCTGCTTATTCAAGGGCACTTTATTGGATCAGTGAGATGAGCAGCATTTCCCAAAGTGGCAGAGCCTCTCCTCTTCTGTTCCCATGGAGTCAGGGGCTCTGCCCGAAGGGTCCAGCCCACTGTGGCCGTCCCACAGCTTTCTCATCTTCTCAGAGCACCTTCCAACATGATGGGGGCAGTGTTTGTTTTTAGTGCCATGTGTGCAAACTGCACGTGCCCGTTTCCTGGGAGCCTGTGGCACCCGAGGTGTGTTGCGAAAGCCTGGCAGGTGCCTGCCTGTCTGGATGACCCTGTCCCGTGCCAGTGAGTCAAGAGATCGTTACTGGTCAAGAGTCGGGCTCTGAAGCAAGACTGCTTGGGTTCGAATCCTGTCACTTCTCATGCCTCGGTTTCTCCATCTGTAAATTGGGGATGATGACAATAGTAACCAAGCCTCAGAATGTTGTGGGTACTCTACCAGTTAATGAATGGCTCCCAGCACATTGTGGTAGCTGTCTTTGCGTTCACACCTACATCCCGCAGCAACTGAGTCACTGACAGTGTCTCCTTGACAGCCAGCTTAGAAGCTCTTCCTCCTTTGCTTTTTGCAACCCTTTATCATCCCCTTCTTGTAGATGAGGAAACTGAGGCTCAGAAGGGCTAACCAGCTGACCTCAACATTGGTTAAGCAGGAACTGCATGGAGCCTGCAGGCCTCCCTCTGGTCTGGAGCCTTCCCCTTGTCTGCCTATAGGGCAACTGTGCTGGGTCCCTTTGATGTTGTATTCAAAGATGCGAGAGTCTGATCCTCCCCTGGTAAATTTGCAGACTGAATTGGGAGGAGGATTCCTGAAGTGAGGGGCTCTGTGCAGTTGAACTTCCGATAAGCAGGAACTCTCCATGAGCTGGGTAGCCGGACCCAGGTGGGAGTGGAACAGGGATTGACGGGGGGCTGCACTGGAATGAGCTTAGGGAAAGAGGGCACCTGGGCTTCAGGTAGGGTGTAGGCAAAGGCACACAGGTGGGCTCTCAAGAGGGTCAGGAACAGAGAAGACACAGAGTAGACAAGACCAGCAGACAAGATGAGGTTTTTCCTCGTGAGCCCACAACTCATACGTGTTTTTAAAAGAGCGTGGCGGAACGCAGGGAGGGCTCTCAACTGTAACAAATCATATTAGCTTGGTCTTGGTCAAGGAAGAATTCCATCAAAATGCAGTTTGAGTACGGACGTGAAAGAAGCCAGTGATGGTAATTCATTCTTTAGTTCTTTGGAGACCACTGCCTGGGGTGGAGGCTCCATGTGAAAGGAGGGCAGGGAGGAAGGCTGGAGAGCAGTGGGTGGGCCCAGGCCAGGCTGGAAGGAGTAGGTGACAAGAGCCGCAGCAGCCTCAAGGGTGGCTCCACAGCAGGAAGGCTGTCCCAACAGGGGAGTCCAGTAAGCCAAGGCTGTGGCAGTCCTCAGTTCAAAGTGCGGGTGTGCAGGTACATCACGGGACTTCAGCAGCTTTCTCAGCGTCCACTGCAGCCACACCTGTGCCCAGACGCCACATATGCCAAGGTGGCCCCATCAGTCAGCATCATGGCACCCTGCAAATAGGGTACTGATAAAGGGACACCCTACAAAGTGTGGGCAGAGGATAGGGGAGCCACAGTACCCATGGCTAGTACCAGCAGGGCTGTCACCTCTCCCAGATCTGCAGGAAGCAGGGGTGGGCACGGTCACTCATCCTGGAAACAGCTGTGGCGAGGGCTTCCACCAAGGACAGCTGACCTTGGTTGGAGGGCCCTGCAGGGTCGGGGCTGTGGGAAAACATACCCAGACCTAATGTCTCCTGCTGGGGCTCCCAGGAATTTGAACCCAGCTGGAAGTGGGAGGACCAGGGAGCCCCCCTTGCAGTCTATACAGTGGGGAGGGAGCAGCGGTGGAAAAGAGGAGGGGGATGGGTGGCAGACCAGACTTAAGGACAGCAAGGACAGCAGGCTCATTTGGGGCTGGAAAGGTTCCTCTCACAGCTTCCTGCACAGGTAAACATACCCCGGCTGCAAGGGCTGGGGTAATGCCTAGTACACGGTGCTGTCCCTGCCACCATGTGGCTGTTAGGGCGGCCGTATATGTCGTTGTCGAAAGCTGGGACACTTAGAGAGGGAAAGGAGGCATGTTCCAGCTGGGCTGATCCCCTCGGGCACCAGGGCCCACTGCAGCCCACCTCTGCTGCAGTGCGAGTGGCCTCTGAGCCCCTTTCCCTGTGCAGGGAGGGAGCAGCTTGACTGATTTCCAATGGGGTGTGCGGGCAGGGAGGTGGGGAGGGAGGCGGGTTCGCGTGTGCGACCA